AAATAAAGTTATTTACTTTCAAAAGTTAATAAAACAATAAAAATATGTTCTAAAAGATAATCTTTTTAAGCTTAAAAAAGTTAATCTAAACTTTATTTTTTTCAAAAAATAAAATTTGTCTTTCTTTCTTTTTAGGTATCAGACTATTGGCTTCTTTGGATTGGTAAGTTTTCAAAAGTTATTTAACTTTCAAACCTTAGTTTTTTTTTAAAAAAAAAAATTTTTCTTTTTTTTTAGGTATTGGACTATCAGCTTTGGTTTTGCACTTTGAGTCAGTAAGTTTCAAATGTCAATTTGCTTTCAACAGAAATTCATAGATTGGACTAGTGGAAATGATGATATTAATAAATTTATTCAAGATACTCAGATATCAGCTCATAAAGGTGTAAAGGAAGCATAGGAATGGATACCTTATGATAGATTTTATGATATTGAATATATTGCAAAAGATGGGTTCGGTAAACTTTTGAAACTTTGTTTTTCTTTTAAAAAGATAAAATTTAATTTTTTTCCTTTTTTCAGATATAGTAGAGCCCATAAGTGCACCCTCTATAAGTGCGTTTCCTCTTTAAATGCACCTCATAGCTTAGTCCCGAGCTCAGAACTTAGAGCTAAGTGCACTACCTTTATGTTTTGCATATGCAAGCAATTCTAAGTCCTGAGTATATCCATAAATGCATTCATGTGACTTTTACATAATTTTGACCAATCATCGATAACTGTTTGTTCAAATTTTTAAAAAATAGATAAATTAATTTAATTTGTAATAAATTGAATTCATTTCTAAAAAAAAGTTTTTTTTCAATTTAAAAAAGAAATCATGTGTAAAAATTAATTTTTAGAGGTAATCATAGTGAACTATTATTATAATAAATCCAAATGTAACATATATAACGTTTATTTATTATTACAGTTATATATTTATGGGTAACAGGTAACATTATTTGGCGACCTGTCAGCTTGTCACCATGGCAGCTTCCCCAGTAACACCAACAAATTTTCCACCCCAATATTCATCACCGGCATCACACCCCACCACGTTTTCACTGTTTATATTTATCTGAGGGACTTAGTTTTTTTTTTGCCTCACAAAATTATTTTTTTCACCTCCTTTAAATGTCACCGGTCACGTGGGGGTGGAATTTTAATAATAAAATTGTTGGTGTTATAATGGGACATTCGCCATTTTTAATTAACAGTAGTTGTGGAGGAATTGTGGAGGATGAACGAAAATATTTTTTTTATCTTTTATTTTTTCATGAAGCTTTTAAAATAGATTTTTTTTTTCTGCCTGGCTGATTGGTTCTGGGAACGATCTTGGATCTGACCCGTTCCTCTCTTTTTTAAAAAGGCTAGATTTCGTCGGCTACGGTCAGCTTGGTTGTTAGTGATAGAATTGCTTTCGATTCATTTAATATGTTATCCTTGTAATTTTTACTACAATCTGGTTAATCTATACATAAAAATAAAAATAAAATGGGACATTCGCCATGGCGACCCAATCACGTGACTTAATAAAATTTTAATTGGCTGATTTTTCATTTTTGATCAGTTAATTTTTAAGAATATTTTATTTACGGTAAAATTTTATATATTAAAACTATAAAATTATACACAGTGGATTAAAAAATTATTTTATGATTTATAAATTGTTTTATTGATTATGTTTATTGATTAGAGAAATAAAAATTAATGAATTTATTTTGAAAAATCTAATAATAATATAAATATTGATAAAAAAAAGGAAAAAATACAATTATAAAATGAAAAAATGCCAATAAAAAAGCAAAAAAAGGAAATAAGAAGATATAATGTTAATAATGATGAAAGAAAAAAAGAAAACAAAAAGAAATGATGTGGGATGAAAAGAGGAGGAATGAAAAAAAAGTGTAAAAAGGATAATAAGGACAAAAGGAAGTGTAAAAAGATGATAAGGATGAAAGAGAAATGAAAAAGAAGTGAAAAGGGTGATAGAAGATGAAAAGAAAGCGAGAAAGATGATAGTGAACGAAAAGGAAGTGAGAAGGAAATAAAAAGGATGATAGGAGACGAAAAGGAAATGAGAAAAATGATGGTGAACAAAAAGGAAGTGAGAAGAAAGTAAAAGGGTGATAGGAGATGAAAAGGAAGTGAGAAAGATGTAAAAAGGAGGATAAAGAAGTAAGAAAGATGATGGTGAACGAAAATGAAGTGAGGAGGAAGTAAAAAGGATGATAGGAGACGAAAAAGAAGTAAGAAAGATGATGGTGAACAAAAGGGAAGTAAGAAGGAAGTGTAAAAGGTGGTAGGAGAAGAAAAGAAAGCGAAAATATAATGAAAAATAAAAGAAAATAAAAGGATGATGGAGGATAAAAAAGAAGTAAAAAAGGAGAAGGAAATAAAAAAATAAAGGGCAAAAAAAGAAGTGAAAGAATGATAGAAAGACGAAAAAAAGCGAAGAAAAAACAATCAAGAACACCACCCATAAAAAAAGGAACAAAGAAAAGACTGGTTAGTATTATTTCAAATTAAAGTGAAAAAGTAATAAAAACAAGAAAGACATAAAAAGTAATAAAACAAGAAAGACAGTACCTCAAATAAAAAGAAGCCATCTCATTATCTAAAGAAAAAAATAAAGTTAGCGTTAGGAATAAAGTGAAGAGCCATTAAATACAATAAAATAACGAAAAAAAAAAAATTGCCTCAAAAAAAAGTCATTTTTAAGTCGAAATAGCATAAAAAAAAATTATCGTTATCTAAATATTTATCAGATGACACGATTGACACATGACATTATAAAATAGTTTTAGTTTAAATCACACAAAAACATAATAATTACTGTTTAGGTAATGTATATGCAGATCTTGATGGTACTACATTTTGATTATAATTTGTAAAAAAAAATATGTACTGTTTAGGTAATGCTTATGCAGATCTTGATGGTACTGCATTTTGATTATAATTTTACTTAATTCGGACGGTATAATAAAATTTTTTCTTGCTTCTTTTTGTAATAAAAAAATATGGAAGGAAGTTCAAGTCAGGTAAATTATTATTTTAAACAATATTAAAATTTAATTAATTGCATATCATTAAAACTAACTTTATATAATAATAGAGTGGAAATTCTTCTACTAATACTGCTTCTGGTAGCTTAGAAAATAATGACCCTGTTTCATATAAAACGATTTTGCATAAAAATATGCTCAATAATCATATCCTTCTCAAATTAGAAGAGGATGGATTCACTACGCCAGATGATAAAGTAGAAGAACTTTTAAAAAATCTAACTAAACCAAGTTATTTATATGCACTTAAATTACTTTTTGAAAATTTACAAAATGAATTTTCATCTCAATCATTAATAAATTCGTTAGAAGCTCTAATTGATTCCACCTCTTTTAATTATTATTCAAAAGAAAGCATGGCTAGACTAGAGTTACATTTAAGGACTTGGGTGATAGTCTTAGAACGAATTTGTTTTTCACTAATAGTACTTAGTAAAGAACTTCGAGATAAAGTTTATAATTCTTTAACAAAATTTGCAGAAATTCATCGTAAAACAACTCAGGTAATCGAAATAGGACTTGGTAATAATTTTAGACCAAATTTCAATCAATTCAATCAACAAAACAATAATCAAGATGAACAAATTATTAAAAAACGTAATTATAATATTGATTTTTTATTAATCCATTTGCGAGATACTCTTCATAGTCTACGTGATGATGAAACTTGGTTTCAAGAAATTATACGAAGAACTAAAGATTTTCTTAAAGCTGCATTAAATATTACACCAGGAATTTTATCAATAGCAGGAGTTTCTCTTCCAAATGATAATTGTTCAATCTTATCATTGCTTACTCAAGTACGTCAGAGTTTAAGTTTTAAATACCCAGTAGCATCTTATTATGTAGATTGGAGAATTATGTTAATAATTCAACATAATCTTTTCATTTGGTCTGAAAGTGAAAAGATTATAAGTAAAAAATTTGGAGAATTAGTATTAATGGAATATATTTGGAGCTTTTTGGAAAGAGAATGGGATAATTCTGTGGACAAATCTATTTTAGATTCTCAAACAAAATTTGATGAAGTATCAAATAAAGTTGCTAAAGCTTTGAAAAATACTGGAGGTTTTTTAAATGAAATTGCTGGAAATGAACCTATAGCACTACCACATAGTTTGTGGTTTGGAATATTAGATCTTGCACAAAATCTTATCCAAAGATCATCTCGAACAGCAACATATGGTCTTTGTTATTATTTAGCAATTGAATCACTTAATAAAGCACCAAGCAATTTTATTCAATTTAAATCTATTGAATTATTATTAAATTTATATAATATTGAAAATAAAATGTTTTCAATGATTGAAATTGATTTTGATCAATACACGCAAAAATTAAATGAAAATAATTTGGAAGATTCTTTAGAAAAATTTCGAAATTTATTAACTTTTGTTAAAGGGAAATACCTTGAAGATTTAAAAACTCTAAGTAATAATACTGGAAAAGGAAAAAACTCAAATCAAAATTTATATTTAAAGAAAGAACAAATATCAAATTGTAACATTTTAGATGTTATAGCAAATGAAATTACTTGTCCAATTAGTAGTGAACCAACTGATCAATTATGTATTTTAAAATGCCAACATATATTAGCATTAAGCAATTTAAAAAAATTGAAGCAAGAGATATGTCCTAATTGTCGAGAAAAAATTGAAGATAATGATATTAGATATTTACCACAAAATTCAATTTATAAAAATTTATATTCAAGATTTTTTGAATCTGGATATATTTTACCTTCAATTGAATTAGAAAATTCTGATCAATTATATGACAGTGATGATTCAGATAATTCGGAAGCTGAACTTATATTAACTAAAAAAAAGAAATTTATGAATTCAATTATTAAATTAAATTCAAAAATATCATCCCCAATACTTTCAAGAATTACAAAAAAACAACATCCAACATATCAAAATATTATAAAAGAAATAAATGAAAAAAATTATGAAAAAGCTGAATCTTTATGCAAAGAATTTATAAATTTTTTTCCTAAAAGTTATTCTTTAAGATGTATTTTAGCGTATATTTATAGATGTCTTAACAATTACGAGCAAGCTCACTTATTTTTAAAAGAAGCTATTAATTTAAGTCCCAAAAGACCAGTTGCTTATTTTATTTGTGGAGAAATATTTTTTAGACAAAATAAATATGATGAAGCAATAAATATTATAGAAAAATCATTAGAATATAAAAAATGAATAACTCATATATATTACTTGGAAATAGTTACTTATCACGTACTAGCTATTATGGTTATATTAATTATAGTAATTGTACAGCAGCTATAGAAAATTATAATAATGCATTAAAAAATGATCCAAATAATTATTTATGTCTTAAAAATTGTGCATACGCTTATGAAATGGGAGAAGATTATTTAAGTACATTAAATTTATTAGATAAATTATTAAATATCAATAAGGAGGATTCTTTGGTTTTATGTTATTATGGAGAAATTTTATATAATATGACACAATATAGAAAATCTATATCATACTTTACAAAAGCTTATACTATAGATCCAGAAAACATCCATAACTTGAATAGGAGAGCTATTACATACTGTGTTATTAAAGAATATGATAAAGTATTATCAGATCTTGATAAAATTATACAATTAGATCCATTAAATAGTTCAGCATATTATCTTAAAAGTTTAACGTATTATACAAAGAATGATAGTAACAATGCTAAAATATCATTTAAAAAGTATGCAGAATTATTGAATTCTGATAATATTTTAGCAAAGATTCAGTTATTACATCTAGAATACTTACTAAATAAAAATAGTTCTAAAGATTTAAACGATATATTAACAAAAATCGATCAAATTCATTATAGTAGTATTAATGAAAAAGTATTTCTACGGTTTATTAAATGCAAAATTTATATTGAATTAAAAGAGTATAGTAAAGCAAGACTAATTTTAGATTGTACACCGTACTATGATGGATTTGAATCTATGAGTTATTTTATACAAGATCATCCCGATTTTTGGTCATATTTATATAAAGTTTGTGAAATTAACAAAAATGATTTTACCAAATTTGGAATTGTCGATGAATTTAGTAAATATATGTATCGAAGTAAGAAAATATTAAATTATTTATTATCTTCTATTTATGTTAATGATAATTAATATCTTAAACTCATTAGAACGTGAAGTATATTTTGTTTCAAATCTTACAAATTTGAATAGTGAACTTTGTCAATTTCAAGAAAGTGATATAAGCAGGTAAAGTCTACTCATAAATAATACTTTAAGCCAAATTGTCTTAAGTACAAATTAATCATAATTTTAATATTAAAGTTTATCAGGGCTGGTATTGTCTTCTAAAAATGAAAAGCTTCATTTGGTTTTACCTATACTAAACTTTATTTATACTTATGATTATTTCATTTGTAAAATGAATGTTAAAAAAATATTATCTAAGGATTGCTTTATAAAATTTACACTCAATGGCGTAAGTTAATTAATTAAAATCTCTATTATTTTATTTAATTTTAAATTAATATTAACTTAATTATAGAATTATCGAGATTATATGTTAAAACATGAAGATGTATCAAAACTTGAGGGGTTAGGTTGGATAGAATATCAGACTTCAATACGTGACCTACATTATGATGGTCAATTTTCGATTGAAATTGAAATAAATTCAATTGAAATGGTATGTTCCTATTTACTTATTCAGATTAATTTCCTTTTAGAACAAAATATAATAATATTTTTTATTCACGTAGCAAATAGAATATATTCGATTAAGTTATAGTAGTCAACCCATAATAACTCACTTTACCAACATAAGTTCAATGGGTTATTTATTTCCAGTTTATCATAAATTTTTCTCAAATGTTCCAGAAACTTTCAAAGACAAGTATTTTTCAAGAAAAGAAATGGAAAATTTACTTGATTTAAAAGATATCCTTAACTAGTGTTTCGATCCGTTTCCGGGTTCAACCGGATAAACCCGGATAAATTTTTTTTTTAGGTATCCGGATAATTACGGTTTTTACCCGGATAAATATCCGGATAAAAAATAGTAAGATTAACCCGGAATCCGGATAAAAAACAATTTTTTTTTAAAAAATTTAAATCACTTATTAATTTTCATAACACTTCATATATTTTTAATACTATGATTCAATTTGGTAAATTCATATTATATAAAGGCTAGATTTTACTTTAAAGATATAATAATATATTTTTTATTATTTTTAATTATTCATTAACTACAAGGAAATAATTTTAAATTATATCGCATAATTTGAATATAAAATATTAAATTCGCGGCATTTATTATTAAATTTATATAGTTCAGCATTTAATTATATAATATAGTTAATATTATACAGTATTTATTTATTTTGGTTATTTAGGACTAGATTAACTGTAATTTAAATTTAATAAATAAAGGATAAATGCTATAAATTGATTAATAAATTTTACAAGAATCCCATGAAATTTAATTGTTATAAATTTAATAAATGCAACGAATTTAGTTCAATAAAGCCACAAATTAAAGCCACAGATTTAATCAAATAAATCATGAATTTAATCAAATAAAAGCCACATATTTAAGTAAAAAATACACTAATTTAATTAAATAATGCCACATTTGAATTTAATAATTGCCACGAATTTAATTAAATAAATGTTACATATTAAATTAATTAAATGCCATATATTAAATTAAATGAATGCCACAAATTTTATTTAATAAAAATAATCTATAGTAAAAAAAAATTTTGTTAATTTTATCCGGGTTTCGGTTTCTATCCGGATATATCCGGATTTTTATCCGAGTCGGATAATCCGGATAGAAACCGGATATTTTTTTTAATTTATCCGGATGACGGTTTCTGCCCGGATCGAAACACTATCCTTAACAGCTTATAATTATTTACTTTTCTTAATATTACCATTTTTGTTTCAATATACTGTACTTTGAAAATTTTTTAAAATTGAACCATTTTATCTGTAAAAGAAATCTTTCGTTTCAGAAATTTTTTATTGAAAAAAATTAAAATTGATACATATTGGAAATTTACTGTTTACTCCTGGGAAAATATACAAAAAAATTTGTATGGTGTAGAATACTTCATAAATAAAATGTTTTATGTAAAACGTTTATTCAAATTTTAACTAGAATATAACAAGTTTATTAGTTAAATCTAATAGATGTTTTATTATTTACGACAAACATCACTAAAACAAAAGGTTTTGTATATTATTGTATTTGGTATAATAAATTTTATTTAACGAATTATAAAATGTATATTTTTATTTTAATCTTTACTAGACAAAATAAATAAATTTATTTGTCATACTCCCATAGACCGAACATGGCTTTTAGCCTACCCAAATTAAGATAACTTCAAAATTCATAAGGCTTTTAGTTATAATAAAATGCTTCACTTCAATTTTCAATAATATTAATAATTTCTTTAATAGGCGAATTATCCCAACATTTTATCATTAAATCCAAATAAGATTTTGGAGTTCCTTTAATATCGAAAAATTCATTACGTAATAATAATATATCATATTTTGGTATAACACTATTACACTATAATTTGAATCTTTCATAAAGATTCTGAAAAATTCTTATAAAACGTTTCCCACTATGAAAATCGCGGTGTATGTATCCATGATCATGTATAACTGCTACTTCCAATAATATTTCTAATCAAGCTGAAAATATTAGAAGGGGAGAAGATGATATGGAGAAAGAAAAATGAGAGAAAAGACACCATTAATATAAGATTTGTTTATTTTTTATGATAAAAAACGTTATATCATTTTTTTTCACACCCAACGTGCAAAATCAGTTTCATTAATTCTTTGAATTTTTTAATTCTTTAAAAATTAAACATTGAGATTCTCTTATGCTTTTATTATTTTATTACTAAATGAAAATAAATTAATATATTAAAATTTAAATGTTTTAAATTGATTATAGTAGTATTTATTATAAAAGAAACAAAATAAAAAAAAATAAATCATTCGCTTTGACGACAAAGAATCACTCTATAGTTTAATTCTTCATTTGAAAAAAGAGGTCCTCTTATTTTGTCTTATTAAATATTTATGTAAACCTTCAATTTTTATAATACTGTATATACCAAATCTCTAAATTTATTACCAAGAGCTTCTTTATAAATTAAAATAATCATGTTTTTCTACTTTACTTATCTTGGAATTATGGCCTAAAAGAAGTTATTATCAGCGTCATAATTTTTTTATTCAATATGTATAAATATAATAAAGAAAAAAATTTTTGCTTTGAACCAATTTCAATTTATCGTGGCATTACAAAAAAAATATATATACAGTATATATCATAAATAATTTGCAGAATTACTTTTTTGTTTATATTACATATCAAATGATTTCATATTATTAATCATGCAATCCAGACATTCATCAATTTCTAGAATTTCATTCAACTTTCAAATAGTAAAATCAAAGTAAACAACTTGTATAATATGCTTGTGGATGAGATTTAGTAGCAAGATTATTATGCCCAATTGGTGTATTTATAAATTCCATTATTTCCATATCATCGCATTTTAACCCTTCGTTAATATCTTCAATTCTATATACATAAGGATCAATAATCCATTCTTTAATAATATTTAAAACTTCCTTAGAAGATGGCCTTTTTGCCAACTAGTTATTTTACTAAGCTTGAGACTTGTAAGTCGGTCGAAAGGGTTGTATTGCATCCACAGTTGAGTGAATTCCCAATTAATGAGATTGTGTAAAGCGAATTTTCTAATGATTCTCAGGGATTTATGTGTCAAATGGAACTCAATTAAACGATATTGAATGGGGCGCTTAAGCGCTTTTCGTATATTTCTGTCTATAGTAATCGTATCGTTAAAACTACGGTACAGACTTGTGAATCTATACCCCTCTTGTTCACTGACGATATTATAGGATTCGATAAACCTAGTTTTGCAAGTTAGTCAGCTTCATCATTAAATAGGTCGTCTGAATGTGTCTTGACTTTCGTTAGAGTAACTAGATCTAGTTTTAATTGAGAAGTGATAAGTTTGTCGCTTGACAGATTAAGAGTTTAAGACATTATTAATTTTTTGCAGTCGTCTATCTGTGATTTTGACCGAGTAAAGAGAATTAAAATTCTGAATCGTGGCCTGTGAATCTGTATAAATAGTAACTTTGCAATGTTTAGGGCAAATTAATAAAACTGTAAAAATAGCGAATCATGCCGCTTTTGTAGAACTAGCCCAATGTCAATTGTTCCATTGTGTGTTAATACAATATTTTCGGGATGACAATATATATTCCATAGTGGTTTTAGGCCTCATATACTATTGGGGTCATAGCGTAACGTGATTCATGTGATTTGACTGTGCTAAGTGTGGCTATAGAAATTGCTCCACTTAGTTATCTTCATAATTGTTGCCCGTTGGCCTAAATTAACTTCCTTACTTAACCCTAAGGTCAACACTAACCCCAAAGGTAAAAGTTTCAGCCTAAACTAACCTTCCTTACCCAACGCTAAGATACTCCAACGTCAATGTTATCTCCAAGGATAAGTATTTTGCCTGAACTAATTTTTTTCACACTAACCCTAAATTACTCCACTCCAAAGATGGTTGTTTTGAGAATATAATGAAATTTTATAGATGTTAATTTATAAGAACAAAACAAATTCTTTTAAATTAACAAAATTAGAGTAATTATTTATTAAAATAGAATGTAATATTAATTTACAATAAAATTTATTCAATTCAATTTATTAAAATTCATTAATTTAAAATAAATTATTGTAAATAATGAGTGTTATCAGTATGCCAATTCCATGTTAATGGCATGATTCGCTTATTTTGATATTAAATGTTCAACATCTTCAACTAATTTAATAATAGGATTAAATGTTTTTTTTACAGCTATACATCATTTAATATTGCCAGCTAGCTTTTATGCGCATAAAATATTTCTTTGGGAACAGAAAACCATTATGTTATATCATTGCCTTCATATAGATGATTATGATTCCAGTGGTATCCATCGGCATCTTCAATCAACTCAATGATTTTATCTGCAATTTCCTTGGTTGAAATCTCATTAGTAAACTTGTATTACTTACTCGGCAATCATGTAAACATAATTCTTGGTTATTGGAAGATATGCCTTCTAAGAGATTTATGTTTATTTCACTTAAAAAATTAATTTCAATAATTTTCAATATGTCAGTTTGGCAATTTTTTATTTCTACAAGAGTTTTTTGTCTTTTCTCAAATCTTTGGCAACAATTATTACAAATTTTGAATTGTTAACACCTTTAGTTCCATAACTTGTAAATTCAAACGATGGCTTAAATAATTTACAACCGTTGCAATAGATAGATATCTTTAGAGAATTCCATTTTTATATTTATTTAAAAAAAAAAAAAAGAATACAATTTTTGATTTTAAACCCAATTTTGTAAATATAGAATATTCATTTAAATAATAAGCGCAAACGCGAAAAAAAATTATGCGAAATAGATCGTCGGTGCAAAAACTGCGCCATACGCCGTATAGCAAAAAAAAGTTCACATATATAACAAATCACATGCTATAAATCACATGCCCGAGCTTTTTTTGGTTTTTCTAAAACCAAAAATTTTTTTTACAATATTACGATTTTTTTCCTTTGTAATCTATACTATATTTTTTTATTTATATTAATATGAAAGCATCTCTTATTTATATTTATTTTTATTTATTAAAAATTTATTATAACTTCAATTACAAAATCATTAATATTGTTATGCAATCTATATATAAATTAAAAACAAAATCTAAAAAAATTCACTAAAAAACAAATAAAATTTTCGTGTGATCTTATTAGTCAGGAAACAATATCATTGACTAAGAGAAAAAAAATCTCACTAAAAAAAAATTCCTACTAAACAAAAAAATTCACCTAAAAAAAAAATTCTGTGCAAACTTATTAGTGAAACAATATCATCGACTAAAAAAAAATCTCACTAAACAAAGAAAATCGAAAAGCAGTAGATCAACATTCCTGATCAATCCAAAAAAAGAATAAGCAATATTTTTTTCAGGTTTAAAAAAAAANTAAATCACATGCCCGAGCTTTTTTTGGTTTTTCTAAAACCAAAAATTTTTTTTACAATATTACGATTTTTTTCCTTTGTAATCTATACTATATTTTTTTATTTATATTAATATGAAAGCATCTCTTATTTATATTTATTTTTATTTATTAAAAATTTATTATAACTTCAATTACAAAATCATTAATATTGTTATGCAATCTATATATAAATTAAAAACAAAATCTAAAAAAATTCACTAAAAAACAAATAAAATTTTCGTGTGATCTTATTAGTCAGGAAACAATATCATTGACTAAGAGAAAAAAAAAAAAAAAAAAAAAAAAAAAAAAAAAAAAAAAAAAAAAAAAAAAAAAAAAAATTAATTTTCGTTTAAAAAATAGAAAAAATCCGATAAAATAAAAAAGAAGTTTCGAAAAAAAAAATCACTAATACATAACTGGTTAGTTGCGACAATCGAGATCCGCAAATGAAGTACAATTAATAAGAAAAACTGTTAATATTAAAAAAATATTAATCCATCACTGATCAGAATAAAAAAATCCGGTTAAAATTTCATTAACCGGAAACGTATTAGCTTAAGGATTGGCTACCGCAGTCATGTGTAAAAACGATCACGTGAATGTGACATTTTTCTATGGTGATACTGGGGAAATTTGTGTACATCAAATTCTTTTAATAGATTGGGCGCAGGAAAATTATATTTTTCAATGTTACACAACTTAAATTAAACAGGGTAATCTAATTATCTAAGCATGGCGAAATTTTTTTATGTAGATGTACATGGTAAATAATAAACCAAGTCGATAAAGAATTTGAAAATATTATTTTATAGTTAAATTTTAATTATATTTATTTTTAATTCCTTACATCAAATTTTAGTATAATGGTGCTCAAGTTCTAAAAAATGTAAGTTAATTAAAAAAAATTTCATAAAATAAGCATAATATTATTAATGATAAATTCCGGAAATATGAGCCTTTTACAGAAAAAGGATGAAATATAAAAATTGGATCGACTCTTTTTACAGGGTTTCCAAACAGTTTCAAAGCGTCTTGAGGGTCCTACAATAAAAAAAAAATTGAAATGGAATGTTAGAAACATTGCTATGAAAAATTTTATCCGTAAAAATGATCCTTTCACGGATCCTTTCACGGAAAATGTAAATAATTCAATAAATTCCGTAATATAAGGTTATTAATTCTGGAAATATGAACCTTTTACGGAAAAAAAGATAGAATATAAAAATGGATTGACTTGTTTTACAGGGCATTTATTAACGTTCCCAATTTACAAAAGTGGCCCTTCCTCATCTCTTGAAGAAGTACCTTCCGGGCGTTTCATCAGTTCCTTGAGGGTCTTACAATAAAAAATATTGAAAATGGAACGTTAGACATGACCTTCTTTGCGAGGTCGTTCCGTCAGTTTCAGAGTACCTGGAGCCCGGAGATTGTTATTAAAAAAATAAATTTTAATTTTACAGCTGATTTCATAATAATAGTTACCGAGAGACAACTCGGTACATTCGGTAAACCTCGGTAAAGTTCAGAATAAGGTTAAACTTGCAGAGCAGGCAAAAATACACATACTGTACAGTTTTTAAAAAAGTTTGTATATTATTTTACAAATCTTTATTACGAGATTTAAGATACAACATTTATTCAACAGGAATGATTTGATAATTTGATGAAACAATGATAATATACACTTATTCTTACCGTTATTAAACCTGCCCCTAAATCTTGTCCATAAAATTTCTGAATGCTGTCCTTAATGCTTCATTTACTATCCCTCGCACTTAATACATTTCGTCAAAAAACATTCCTTACAAAGTATGTACAAATTTAAATAAATCTCCTTGCAGCCGGATATAGCTTTCATTGATTATTTTATTTTAGTATTACGAAGTGTAACAATATAAACGTTAAGGTTTTAAAGTATTTAAACTTAAATCAATGAAAACAGAAAATGAAATGAAATTCCGTATTCGACAAATTTGAAGAAAAGAAAGAGAAAGAAGGATATAAAAATAACTGTAAATATTTTTCTTTTACATTTTTTCATTCGTTAATAATCATTAACAGGAAGTTTGTAGCATAGCATTACAAGTTAGAAAAAAAAGCAAAATAAACCATTTGTATCAAAAGAATAAAATAAATAAGGATAACAAAAATATAATGCAAATATGTAATAATACAATTATATAAGTAACTTATAACTAATCACCTAAAAGAAATTACAAAATAATTTTTTTAAATAAATTTAATTAGTTTTAAATTATAAATATGTAAATGATAGTATTAAATAAAATAACTTATCCCCTATATTATTAAATAATTTTTTAAATAAAGATTTTATTTAATTTAATCGTATTTAAATATATAATAACAACGAGATAAACTTAAAAATCAGCTAATTCAAAAATTTTTCTAGAAATGATTTCTTTATGTATTTAGTTAGTATAAAATCGATAAAAATAAATAATTTTCGGCGAAATATCCATTCGGCAAATCTCGTGAATTTAATTAAATTTTATATGCTGTATTATGAAATAATTTTTCATACATGATTATCTTTATAACAAGAGCATGCCATGAACATATATGCATATTCAGAGAGTATCATTATTCCACGACATATCACCTCCAATTTAAAACGAAATTTTATTACAACTCCTATAATCATAAAAACATTAATAACTAAATAAAAAGCTCCCGAAGATTATTTATTTATTTCAAATGGGGGATCGGTTCACTTAGCAAATTTTAAAGAACTCGGAAATATTCGGTAAAGCTTGATATAAAATAAAAATCATACGCTAATTTTGGAGTATTATTCTGAGAATGGTGGTCCAATTTTATCTTATTTTGAACTTTACCGAATATTTCCGAGTTCTTTAAAATTTGCTAAATGTCTCGTTGTAAAACCGACAATCACTCAAGCAAAGCTATTATCAAAGGAAATTGAATTAAATCTTTTTTTTTTAAAGTTCATTACAGTTGAAAATAATAATAATAAAAATTTTTTGAGGACATTGATAAGGCCATCATTCCAAACTAACAATTAGTTTAACGTCCTTTCTGGCTCAAAAATTTGAGGGAAGGAAGGGAATAATTTAAGCAAACATGACATTTAAACATTTTAAAATCGGATATATTTGGTACCACTCAATTTTAGTAAAGAGGGGTGCTTTAGGCATTTCAAAAATGGGGGGGGTGACGTTAGCTCTATATCCGTTATTTCTGTAAAAAACTCCGTAAAAATGAGCCTTTCCCGGATCCATTCACGGAAAATGTAAATAAATCGATAAATTCCGCGATATAAGGTTATTAATTCCGGAAATATAAAAAACGGATCGACTCTTTTTATAGGGTTTCCAAACAGTTTCAAAGCGTCTTGAGGGTCCTACAATAAAAAAAATTTGAAATGGAACGTTAGAAACATCTCTATAAAAAATTTTATCCGTTATTTCTGTAAAAAACTCTGTAAAAATGAGCCTTTCACGGATCCATTCACGGAAAATGTAAATAAATTGATAAATTCCGCGATATAAGGTTATTAATTCCGGAAATATGAGCCTTTTACGGAAAAAAGATGGAATATAAAAAGCGTATTGACTTTTTTTACAGGGTAGAGCGGCCTAATTAAATGACAAGCTCCTGAAGTTATCCATTTATTTTCAAAGGGGATTGGTTCACCGACAATTACCTCACCGAAAACCTTTCTCCTGCAATTATCACAATTGAAAATAATAATTATATGAGATAATAAAAAGGTTGATACATTTTAATATTTTTACTAATAAAGACAATATTAAAAAAGAATCCTTTTCTATTTTTATGCGAAAGACATAAAAATATACTTATTTTAATCATTTAAAGTATTATAAAAGTATTGTATATGTCAATGATTGCCCCTATGAAGATCCCAACGCTCATAATCCTGACACTCATTATCCCGACACTTATTTTTTAGACGTAATAATATTTTCATACCTTGTAATGATTAATATTTCTATTAATTGTGATTATTTCGCAAGACGAAGGATGAAAAAAAAATCGATCACGTGAATTTCTGTCCTCCACGTGATTGCCACCCAATGAAAGCGCAAATTTTAGTTTTTCGCTTCAAACTTACAATGGTTCCCGTATAAAAAAAATTTATTAATTTTAATAATAAATTTATTAATTCTCACAAAACATTTTAAATTTATTATATATAATAAAAATATTGTTATTATAAAATTATTACATCTAAAAAAAAAAATAACAATTTTGGGAATGTGAAAGTATTATAAAGATATATACTTAAAATATCAGATATTAACATTTTTTGCTAAATATAAAAAGTATGCCAAAATATTAAATATTAAAAAACAAGTAACTTCTCGTTGAAGAGAAAGCTTAATTTTTCTTGTTAGTCGTTTTGTTAAATGTTAAATCACTGAAATATCAGGTCATGAACTATCGTGACATATCGTTCAAATATCATAAATCCGATATGGTTTGATGTGTGATATTAAAAATCATATGCATGTCGGTATCTGGTATAGTAATGGTTTTTTTCCGATAATATACTGATATTTACTCTTTTTTTTTTTATTTATTATTATTTTTTATTAAAGGAATACTCTTTTTTTCGGGAATTTCGAAAATAGTTTTGAAGTTTTGAAATAGTTTCGGAATTAATTTAGGAGTTTTGAAAGTCAACTCCAATTCACAATTGTTGATTCATTAATTGATTCATGATTCTCCAATCAATCAATTCTGAAGTAGTCATAGTGTTTGGATCTGGTTAGGAATAAATCCGTTTGACATCCAGATACAATTATTTAGATTGCTGTTTATAGATTCCTTCTATTCCTTTATTTGATATGATCTTTCTGGAGCAATTTTATTATTACTTTTTTTATTTTCTCTTTAAATAACTTTTTTTTTTTACTTAACGGTTAATCAAAAAAAAATGTTCGTTTTACATTAGTATCGTCCTGTCACTTATAAAATAGGTACTTATAAAGCCGTGAAAGGGAAAGGAAAAGAGAAGGATAGGAGTAAGGGAAGGGGAAAGGGCGAAAGAAAGGGGAAGAAAGGATAGGAGGGGAAAGGATGAAATCATCATTTTCAAAAAAAACTACTATTCCCGTGAATAAAAGGTGAAGGAACAGAAATGTGATGCCCCTGAAGGTTATCCTTTAAAACTCGATGCCAAGAAATTCATTTCATTTCACATGAATGATATGAACGTAAATTACTCACAATTATGAGTCTTTGTTTATGTTACGTTATAATACTCCACAACATATATTAATTATCACATGTTTACTATGCTTTTCATATGGAAACATGTCTGCATAATAACACAGTTATTAAGTATGGTGGTTAAAATATCATCCATTATATATGCCGAAATTTCAATATATATACACCTCAAGATTAATCAAAAGTAAAATAAAAAATCACAAATTTACTACTTTCAAAAAGGAGTAAACAAGAAAGAGTAAAAATTTTTATCAAAACTCAATAAATATATCTTTATTTTATAATTATTATGAAATCTCTTTCAAGTTTCCCTTTTTTCGTCTTATTCATTGCTATCTTTAGCATAATAGCTTTTATGTCACCCGTCGAAGCCGACCATACTGTATGGATCCATAACAAATTGGATAAAGGTACACAGGCTATAGCTGCCGTTACCTATACAAATGAAAAAGAAACTTGGCATTGGAGTCCCGATAATAACGATGCAATCTTTGAAAGTTACTCATTCGCTCACGAAGGTTTCTATTTAACTGTACCTTCCAAAGTAAGTACGTATTGGCTTGTTTTTGGTGTTGGTGCTTCGGCATTTGAAGAAGATAAATGGCGGGGTCCATTCGAAAATACTCAAGATCTCTGTTTCCACTATCATGGCAACCTTTTTAAATGGGAACTATGGCAATGTTAATACTGTGCAACATGATAATAGGTAATTATGCTACTCTATTCTATTTCTTTTATTAATTATAATCATTTGCATCATTATTATTTTATTATTTATTACGTTTTTAGTATATTGTGCCCTATGAAAAATATTTTTTTTTTATTAAATGTACATCAAATAACCATTTTTTTTATTATATAAAAAACAATAATTAATTTGACTGTATTAGTCTAAACGTAAAATATACATAACATAGACGTAAAATAAACGGAAAAATGAGCCCATTTTATGTTCATTATTTATTCATAAAATGTTAATAAATTGTTTATTAAATGTACTATAAATTGTAATAATATACATAATACACAGTGAAATACGATATAACGGAATCCCAATAAACCGGAACTGGCCTTATACCGGACTTTTTTCCGGAACCAAATCACATATATTAAAATAAATTTGATATAATGGAATTTATTAGTAAAATCTCGATAATGGCTATAACGGAACAAATATTTATTTATTTCATAAAGAGGAGTGATCAAAGATCTATACATTGATAGGTATTTAGATACAAGGAAGTAAAGAAGAACTATTCTAGTATAGGGATGGCAACGGTCACGGTCATTAACCGATTATGACCGGTCATGACCGTGACCGATATCGGTCGGTCAAGACTTCTGACCGACCGTTTAACTGACCGTTTGACCGACCGTTTGACCGACCAAATTTTTTTATGAAAAATTTAATAAAAAACGTCGCGAAAACGTTTTTTTATTAATAATTTAATTTTAAAAAACGTTTTTCGCAAACGGTTTTAATTATTTTAACAAAAAACGTTGCGAAAACGTTTTTATTAGTAATTTAATTAAAATAAAACGTTTTCGCAACGTTTTTTTAATTATTTTAATAGAAACGTTGCGAAAACGTTTTTTATTAATAATTTAATAAAAAAAAAACGTTTTCGCACGTTTTTTCAATTTCCTTAATAAAAACGCTGAGAAAATATAAAAAAAATGATCGGTCAAACGGTCGGTCAAACGGTCGGTCGGTCGGTCAAAGGTTCTTGACCGGTTATGACCGACCGATGACCGACCATGACCGACCGTTGCCATCCCTATTCTAGTATAAGATACTCGGATACCAATCCCAAATTCTGTAAGATATAAAACCTACCCAGGACAGGACCTCACCCTTCGATTTAAACTACTAAAACGGTAGAACTACGCTACAGTTAAAGGACGTGACAAAATAAAAATGTCCGTCCTTCCGTAAGAGCTATTGTAACGTAAGAAAAAACCAAAGGGGTTATATCAGAAATATATAACGGAACAAATAACAAATCAGTTATAATAAAAATGATTCGATTTACCGAAACACGTGACGATTCACGATTTTATCGCCGTTTTCAAGATGGTTGATGCTGTTATGTTTGAATGAAAAAAATAAAAACCGAAAACCGGATGAAAACCGGACAAATAATGGACGAAAACCGGACGAATATTGGTATTCGAATATTTAATCATAAATAAATAGCATCAACCATTTTGAAAACGGATGTAAAACCAATAAAATTAGCAGCGTGATAACCTTTTAGAAATTTTAGTGGAATACGCAAGCTTTGAAGACTCAGATAAAGATTCTTCAATATTTTCAACATTCCTAGTCAATATATTCAGAAAAATTTCATCACTTTATAAGAATGAATTTCCTAAATAAGTTGTTTATTTGAAAATGTTAATATATGTGAACCCTTAAAAATAAATACACGAAATTGAAATCTTTTTTTACACTTTAATCACGAACTTTTTTATTGAAAATATGTCTAATAGTGAGGTAAGAAAAGCAAAAACAGGGTAGAATAAATGATTTTTTTAAGTTTTAGTTAATTCCAGTGTATAAAATTTACCAAATAATGTTTTAAACAAAAATAATCTAAATTTCCAATGTTTGTCGCATATGTCGCACAAATAAAAACTTGATATAAAGGAATTTCATGTTATTTATATATAAAATCCGGTATATCGAAATTTTTTGATATCGGAAGTCTCGATATACCGGATATTTTTACTGGAACGGATGGTTCCGTTATATCGAATTTTACTGTGTATATCTATTAATTAATTATAAAATATACATGATATATCTATATTCTATCCTAATCCGAACCATATAATTCTTTATACTCCTTATCTATCACGTAATAAGTATCATCTAAAAATTTAAACCAGTCGCTAAAGAATAACTGCAAACTTACATTATTAAAAATTAAAATCCAATCCAATGTCATAACAAAGAAAATATAATATTATAAAAACTGAAACTATATATTAAGAATAAAATTTCAATTACATTAATAAGGATAAAATTAAGAAAAATCATGATAGGATTAAAAATTTCCAATAAAATTTCTAATAAATTTTATAAAAAAAAAAAGTATCAATTTTTAACGAAATTCTATTATTAAATAAAAAAAAATTTCAAAGCTAAAATTCTCAATACTCTTATTAAAAAAATTATTTTCAATAAATTTTCTATTAAAAGACTTTTAGACGAAATTCTCCATCAAAAAAAAAGACTCACCTATAAAAAAACTTTTCAACCAACAAAATTGTCAAAAAAAAATCCCCTATTAAAGAAAAATTTCTAACGAAAATCTTCCGTCAAAAAACATTTTCCCTATTAAAAAAAAAATCTTACCTATTAAAAAAATTCTCAAAAGAATTACCATATTAAAAATTTCTAACGAATGATCTATCAAAAAAAAATCTTTCCTATTAAAAAATGTTCTAACGAAATACTCCACCAAAAAATATTTTTACTATAAAAAAAAATTCTCAATGATATTTTTGCATATTACGAAATATTTTTTTTATTAAATTTAATATATAATACTTCTTTTGTTATTTTTTTTCATGTTTAAAAAAGTGATATTATCAAAGCGTGATATGTTTAAAACCCCAGATAATCGGTAAGACGCACCACTCAGGTGATCATCAAAGGTTTATAGGTTATAACCTTATATGATCATCTGAGTGGGGTGCATCATCATGGCCTCCTTTAGGAAATGACGTCATTTCCGGCCATCCCCTAAGAACCAACGAAAAAATAGAATTATGAGGAAAAATATCTATTAAATCTATGTTATCAAACAATAAAGTATCACTATGTGATTGTCATAATCCTGAATGAAGAAAATTTGAGGACGTCCAGCGAATATGAGCTTGGGCGTAAATAATTGTAAATTTTTATTTTTATTTTTAACATGACGACAGAAACGAAGGTACAACGGCATGCAGCAATTGCTCTAAACTAGAGTAATTTAAAGTTGGTCCCTAATCCCACGCGTGGAACCACCCCGCCAGATATACAACCTCGAACTATCTAGCGTGGCCAGTTCTATCCGAAATATTAACAAAGGATAACAAAAAAATCCTGTTTAATTACTTTCACGATTATTATTATCCTCCCGTATTGATCTTTCATTTACTCAAAAATGCCGTCTGTAATACTGCCATAGATGGAATGATACTTTAATAAGAAACTATGGTATTGTCCTACTGAAAGGTGGTCTATCGGAGGGGAAAAGGGTGGTATACACTCCGAAGGTGGGAGTGTCGGGTTCGTCGAGTATATTATCTTTGCGTCGTTTGTTATGAGAAGCGTTCTCGTCTCCGTTATCACTTAACGGCGGAGAGTGCTTGAGTAATACGTTGTTCTTTTCAGGTAACTGTCATCTTGTTTTTTGATGCGAAATTCGTACCTTCTTTGCATATCAGAATAACATCGCTAACGTGTGTGAAAGCATAGGTGTAAGGTTGGTTTTTAAATGTGAATGTTGTTGATGATATAGATGGCGAAGCAATTGATGTGGACGTTGAAGGAACAGCATCGTTAGAATCAATGTGCATCAAGTTCCCTGTGTCTGTATCGTCCAATGGGGAAGTTTGATGTGGGATGCCGTTTGATTTTTGTTGACGTAATGTATTCGCCGCAGCTTTTTCAGCTTTTTGTTTGGCGGCTTCCTCCTTTTGAATACGTCGTTTTTCGATAGTAATAGCTTCACGTTCGCGTCTCGCTGCTATTAAATAAATAATTGTAAATAATTTTGTTTTACATCATTTCACAAGTAAATATATTGATCACGTTTAGGTCATTGTAATTTTATTGTACTTTGATCATAGTTGTAAAATATTCGATAAGAGAAAATTTAAAATTATGCATTTTTATTTATTTATTATAATACCCGTTCGAATTCTATTAAAAAAAAATTAATAAAAATTTAATAATTAAATATTTTGGAATTTGAATAATATAAAATGATCGTCCTTGTCGTCCTCAAAGAAATCTTAAAATTTTAAAAGTTTGATAAAATGTTGCAGATTTCACTTTTCCTTTACAAGCATAAATATAACCTAAAATGTAATATGTGCTTGTCGTTGTTCTTAGTTCTCTTGTATTATTAATTTGCACCATAATTTATAATAGAATCAACATGGTGCATGAGTAAGATCGACCGACATTGATCAAGAGCACCAAAGAAGGGTACACTTATTATAGTGACGTAACATACGATCACATGAACGCTTAACGCTTTATATATTCATGTATAGTTTAATACTAACCAGTCACGTAAGCATAGTTACGCGTTTTTATGCTAACAATGCTAACAATGTATACTGTACATAACTGCGTCCGAATGTTCGAATAGAATAGAAATAATAAACCCTTTTACGTTAAATTTCAAAATTATTAAATTATCGAAAATCGTCTTAGATTCACGCGATTATCGTAAGGCTGATTTTTTTTTTATGACCACATGAGTAGTACAATAATCACTCAGTTTTTTGAAATGGATAAGAAAAAATTCACTGGACTGGAAACAGCGGTTATTTCATTTCCGTTTCTTTATTTGTTTATACAATTTTCGTTAATGTTATAAAAAAATTTATAAGCAAAATATTTCCATAATATTAAATACGAGCTTATAAAATAGAAAAATCATAACATAAATTATTTAGACTTATTAGAATTTTTTAATAATAAAAATTAATTTAAAAAAATTTTTTTTTTTAATAAAATTTATAATTATATGTGGTTTTATGCAAGGGTTGATAAAAATTCTCAGCCAGTTGGCGTTAACAATTAATATTCATTCGTTATGTATGCACTTAACCTATATACCTCATTTTGAACTCATTAAAAACTCATTAATCCCATGTGAATTTTAAACCTTTATAACAAATCATTTTACAAAGTGAAATAATATAATGCCGCATTTACTTATGAAGATAATCTTTTATGAATTTCGAGAAAGTATTTACGCGAAAAAAATTATATAAATTAAGTAAATTTGTTAAACAGCTTGTTATACAATGAAATGCAGCATATGATTTTCTCTTTGATCGGCAGGCAGACATGGACCTATTTTTTCTTTCTCCTTTGAAAAAAAAAAAAAAAATACTGCCCTTTATTATGTCATAAGAGAGTACAAGAGAAATAAAAAATATAAATTTCTATACAAGAATTACTTATTTAGGTTATTTGAGCTACAAACTAAACTAAAGTTATGATGGCGTAGAAACAAAAAAAAAATTGTAACAATTTTTTTATTAGATGCATGTTAATGCATGATCAATTTGTGCAATATATATTTCGAAATCGGAACGACGGGAAACACCTGTCAACACCTGTCAATGCATTTACTTGTCAAATTCGGAACAAAGAAAATAGTTGATAAACCTGTTTTTTTTTAAGAAAAAAAAAAAAGAAAAAAAGAAAAATTTTTTCATTTTTTTTTTTCTGCACAATATTTTCTATTATTCAATATGTCAAGTACTCCAAGCCCTAACAATAGTGTGCATTCTAATAGAAGGTCGAACCCATGTATTAATTGGATTGAAGAAGCCATTGCCAAAAGACATATTAAGTATTATGAATATAAAAATTTTAATAATATCAAAGAAATTAGTACGGGTACATACGGAAAAATTTATCGAGCAAATTGGAAAAATTCAAATAAATATTTATCGTTAAAATCATATTTTGTACGAGATAACTCCACAATTAAAGAAATTATTCATGAGGTAATTTTTTAATTATTATTATATTTTTAAGAAATTTAATCAAATCAAATAATTATGCAATTTTTTTTTTATTATAATGTAAACAAAAAAAAAAAAAAATAATTCTTTAAATTTTTGTTTGAAAAGTCTTTAATAAGAAAACCTATATGAATAATTAAATTTAATTGGTTAATTAATTAATTAGGTTAAACTTCAACGCGAAGTGGATTTTCATAATAATGTTATACGCTTTTATGGAATAACTGTTTTAGATCAAGGTATAACAACCATATATTAAACACGTATAAATATTTATCGTATATCAATCATTATATATAACGATTATTTCTTTTCATTAGATAACGAAGATGAACAATTACAAAAATATTGGGTAGTAATGGAATATGCGGACGGCGGAACACTTCAACAATATCTAAAGAGAAAGTTTTATGAACTTACTTGGAATGACAAATTCAGCCTAGCATATCAATTGGCTAGTGCTGTTTCATATCTGCATGAAGAGGGAATTGTGCATCGAGATTTGGTAAAAATAATTTCTTTTTTTCTTAAATGCATAAGAATGTTTGATGCGTGATGATATTAATAAAAAAAAAATTTTTTTTATTTAGAATTCTACTAGTATAATGGTTCATCAGAATACAATTAAATTGGCTGATTTTGGAGTATCAAAAAGAATTAAAGAAGCATCTAAACGACAAATAAATTTCGGTTCTTTTCCTTACATTGATCCAAAATTATTTAGTAATCAAATAAATAAAAATAATCCCACAAAAATATATACATTAAATGAAAGAAGTGACGTATATAGCGTCGGGGTTCTCTTATGGGAAATATCAAGTGGAATACCTCCCTATGACGGAATAGATGATGATAATTTACATTGGAAAATTTTTCAAGGATTAAGAGAAAATCCTGTTCCAGATACGCCTATTAGTTATATCGATCTTTATAATGGTAAATTAATAATTTTAATCATTTATAATATACCAATAATTATATTAATATTCAAATATTTATTTAGATTGTTGGGATGGTGAACCGGAAAATCGTCCGACTATGAATCAAGTGGTTTCAAGATTAAATAATATTATCGTGGAATCATACAAAACAATAAATAATTATCAGACTGATGACTTTATTATAAATGTTCAATTTAAACCTGAAGATGAATTAAGTATCATGGTTGATAGAATAGTGAACCTAATTTTTAAGTTGACTAACGAAGGAAAGGAACCAAAATTTAGAAATAAATATATTCTTGATTATATTAACATATATAATATATCTTTGAAAGAACTATATAGTTGGTTATTAAATAATCAAAATAATTCAACGTCCATATTTTTATTAGGATATTTTAATTATACTGGTATTGGAACAAGTGAAAATAGAAATAATGCATTTGAATTATTTTTTAATGCTTCAAAACATAATCATGTTTTAGCACAATATTATATTGGATTATGTTATAAATGTGGTTATGGAACTATAAAAAATCAAGGATTAGCATTCGAATATTTTAAAAAATGCGCGAATAAGGATTTTGCAGCGGGTCAATTAAATCTTGGTTATTTATATGAACATGGAACGGACGTTAAAGAAGATTTAAAGATAGCTGTTGAATGGTATGAAAAAGCTTCAATTAATGGGAATATAATTGCTAGTTATAATCTTGGACTTTGTTATAAGAATGGAATCGGTATTAATGCGAATAATAAAAAAGCCTTTGAATTATTTAAAAAATCTGCAGAAGGAGAATATTTGAATGGAATAACAATGTTAGGATATTTTTATAAAAATGGGATTGGAACCAGTACAAATAAACAAGAAGCATTTCATTTATATCAAAAAGCTTCATATTTAGGTGATGAAACTGCTCAATATAATCTTGCATTAATGTATGAAAATGGAATTGGTATCGTAAAAGATATTGATCAGGGAATTTATTGGTATAAAAAATCATCTGAAAATGGTTTTCAAAAAGCTAAAGAAAGATTAGAAGAAATTTCAAAATTAAGTAATAGAAAAAATGTGAATAATAATAATATGATAATTATAAAAATTTTTTTATCATATTTATTTTTATCTTTAATTTACTGTATTGTGCATATATTTTAGATTAGTTTAGATGATTACTTATTTTTAAAAAATAATTTTGTACTATAATATTATTATTTATTATTTGTATACTATTTATGTATTTTTATATGTATATTATTATATTTAAATAAAAAAAAAAGTATTATTTATTATATTTGCTTTCCTTTTCTTGAGTACTACAATATTATAGAATCGGATCGACGAATCAACACGATAGAGCGTGTGCGAGATAAAGATTTTGATGAATGTTTTAAGACTGCAAACCACTTTTTCATCTATCAATTAATAGTTTATACGATCGATCGATCGATAGATAGGTATTTCGAGTTATGTATTGTGCACATTTATGGTATAAACTGAATGTATCATGTACAGTCGCGTCGGAAAGTATTGCCCGATTACTTACAGATGGAGGTTATAATTATTTAGCCACTATGGTTATCCCAGCATCCAGTGATCAGAGTTTGACAAATTAAGGCTTGTTGGATTAACCTCACCAAAACGAGTCCAATGTTAGTTGAATCATGTCTTTAGGTACAATAGATGCCGAGATATACCTCCAAACATACTTTACCTGAAAATTTTTCGAAACTCTAAATTTCATAAAATCGGGAATAGCTCACTATACAGTGATCCAATTTTGATAATCAAAGGCTCATTGGATTAGTCTCTTCGAGACGCATCGAATAGTGACCAGCCCATGTGTATAGTATCGATATATCACGAGATAATGGCAAAAACGTCCAAAATATATTTTAATGTATATCTTAGCATATATTGATCCTAGAGATATGAACCGACCACCATTCAATTCATCTTGACGAGACGAATCCAATGAGCCCTTATTCGCCAAATTTGGATCACTGGATGCCAAGATAATCACGAGTGGCAAGATAATTATAGATTTCATCTTTAAGCCAAAAATCAGCTAAAATTAAATAAAATTGCAACTAGTGATTTGCCAACAAATTTACTTGGTTTAAACAAAGTAGAGAACAATTAGAAACAAACCAATATATTACCCAGAAGTGTTGACCTCCTCCCAAAAGCTGTAGGCGAACTTAAAGCTGTACTGAAGAAAAAATGAAAATTTAAATAGTTCTGTTTTTGGGAAGGCTGCCACCCTGGGATTGTGAAAATTTGATGTAGTATGAGAAGCAAACTAGATATAAATTTTTTACTAATGTATATACTGGTGAAAAAATACAAATATTTTTGTTTTTGTCTTCATTTTCAAATCGGGCATTACTTTCCGACGCGACTGTACATAATGTATTAGTTCGTATTTCACCCATTTTACCGACACCTGTTCCACCGACATAAGATTTACTGATTTCACTTTGCCGACTTGCCTTTTTACCGACATCACATTTTCCATCCAACGTGATCGAAATTTGTTTAAGGTCTTTCTTGAAAATATCTTAATAACCATATGTAGTATAATTCATTTTTTTATTTTGTATTTATCGTTTTCTTAATCAATAATTTATAATTAATAAAACACAAAAAAAAAATTGTAAGCTTATTTACTTTCAAATTGTATAATACAATTAAATTTATTCAATAAATAACATAATTATTACTCATTCGGTGAAACCTTTTTTGAACAGCAGTAAATTTTCTTTATTAATTACAAATGTTACCCTTAAAAATCAAAGAGATCATCAAATAATTTGAAATAAGGGTGTGGCTCAACTGGTTGATGAATTATAAATTTTCGCAAGTCGGGTAATTTTTATGTCGATAATATATCATGTCGATGAAACAAAGTTAGATGTCGGTAAAATGGAAGTCAAAATGATGTCGGTTAATTTCATGTCGGTGAAATGGCTATCTGTAAATCGTACCGTAACACTACCGTAACCGCCAAATAAAAAAACAATATTTTAACTTTCTAGAACATAAAAAAGAGATAAGTTACAAATCTGAAAGAATCCATTTGTTTATTCTTATACATGATACTAAATATTTTTTTACTAGCATCCTTAACTTACGCAAGATGTGTACGATATTAACGTACGCACTAGCCAGAGTTGAGTTTATCGCTATCACGTGAAAGTGCATAACTCTTAAACTCTGGTAGGATGTACGTACGCACAGTACGTACGTACAGTGCGTACGTTAAGGAACCTCATTTTTTTATAGGTTTCAATCAGACTCTTCAAGGCGTGAATTGATATATTTTTGTCTTCATTGATTCTAAGTTTCTAACTCTTTAGACTTTACTAGCGTAGAGCTTGGGAAAACTCGTTGAATCGCGCGATTATACACGTGATCATAATGCTGCCCAGAACCATCGTAATTCCGGCCTGCATCACCGTTAGTGGGAAAGAATCAAAAGACCAAGGTGCGGAATCGGTAAAAAAAATTTCGACCCGCACTATGATTCTGTATGATTTAGATAAAATTTGTGTGATTTTAATTCTAGACAAGATTCATAATTTCATTTAATTTTGGGCTCTTAATTTGATTATATAGAAAAGATGTTATGTATATAGTGATGTGCAACGTCTGAATTTACCCTAGTGAAATCATTGATTTTGAGGCGCAGTATTATATTTAAATTAAGTGTGTAAGTATTTTTATTTACTGCGATCTGAATTTTATAGGTTATTTTATTGATAGGGTACTGCGTCCGCGATGACGTAAAACTAGTGAGTTATTTTCATTAGTTAATTATTTTTAAGTGATTTATTTTTATTGGCTTACAAAAGGATCGGGTGATAATTACCTTGGAAAATAGCCCTGTTCAATTCTAGACCGGATCGGATTTATCGTAAATTTGCACCCTTAGATAATTGGTTGCTGATGTGGTCAGCGGTCAGTCAAATAGATTCATCCAGATCAATTTATAATAAACAACACATCTGCGTGTCTTTGCCCTATAACATATTATGAATAATATAACCAATCCGATCAGGGCTCAATTGTAACTATGATCCGATTGGTTATACATTTTTTCTGTCAATCTGATACTGAAACAGGGCAAATAGATCAACATAATGGGACGAAGGCCGAACGAATAATTTATATGAGATTTTGAAAAAGAAATTATTATTTCAATTGGTTATTTATTTTTCTTTAAATATATTACTTAAGGAATAAGAATAAGGGAAATCAGATTTTCAGAATTTATCTTCTTGAATTTTTCATTTTATTATTTGCTATTATCATTATTATTATGAAACTCGGGAATTGTTATAATTTTGATCGAATATAATAAAGCTTATTTTTGTAGCTTGTGGTGGCAAACGTCTTTGCGATGGGCACAAGCCCTACAATGTGCACTATACGACGTTTGGGTGGTTGTGTAACATGACAAGTATACCATTCGTACGTACGTATACTAATTTACATGACAATATAGACAACCTTCAATTTAGAAGTTTAAAGAACTTTCAATTTTTGTGAATAATAGAGTGAATAATATAGTGAATAATATTTTACAACAGCCTCTCTTTGCCAAATCCAATAATTCTAAGTTTGAATGTGTCGCGTAAATATAATTTTTTTAGATTAAATTTTTATTAAATACTTTATTCTTTACTCTTTGCCACTCTATAAAAATAATTTTTTTTAAGACATTATTATTATAAAGATAACGAAAGTTACTATCAACAATTATATGTTTTAGTTTCATTAAATCAAATTATTTCAAATATTGACCCTGAAATTTAGCGGAAAAGTGGGTCAAATACAAATAATTCTGAATCAGCTCACTCCATGGTAAACAGGGAATTGTATAATATTATTAAATAACTAAATTTTTTTTTATAAAGAGGAAACGATTTGATGAACGATGTTATAAAACAATTGAAATCTACTAAACCATCATTAAAAAGGAATCTTTCTTCTTCCATTAATAGAAACAAATCATCAAAGAAAGGTAAAAAAGAAAAGAATGAAGAAACATTAACTATAAATGAAATATCCGAATTAGAGATTGAGGAAATTAAGGGAGCGTGCATCTGAAGCTAATAAAAAAGAAGCAAAGACCGAGGCATTAGAAATAGTTAATGCTTAAAAAAAAGAAAAAAGAAAATGCATTTATTTAAATAAATAATAATAACATGTTACTTTATAATAATAACACCTACAATTGGGAGGTTAATACATTAATAAAGTTTATATTTAGCGTTTTTTTACGAACATCTCAAAATTTTTTTATAATAAATAAATATCTTAAGCAATTTTATATATGAAAGAATTCAGAGCATCACTGTAAATATTCTTTTTTGGAATGGGATCTTGTATTTATATATATTAGTATTACTGTATCAAGATTATTAATAAAAAAAAAGAAAATTAAAAAAATCTATGTATGCACGCTTTGGTGCATTGGTCTCTCATACGTACGTACGTTTTTATTAATAAATGTACGCACAAAAGATCAGCATACATCACATGTACATGACAACCGGGAAAAACCGGTTTGTATAGGGAGAGATTAATTAGATATTTTATAACTTATATAAATACTAAAAATCGTATATTCATTTTGAAATGAAATGCAGTTTTAATTTCAATATTTATTTTTTCTCTTTTTAATTCAAAATTTTTCCGTTGCAACAAATAATATTTGTGCATTGTACACGTGACAAATGATATCACATGACTAATCCGTCTATATAATTAATCCGTGAATCTGGCATAATTTTTTATTTGTTTTCATATTTATTATATCTGCAAATAATTTAATTTAATGGTTTCAAATTGTAATTCGGTTTATCGGTCTTAAACATTCACCGAAAAAAATGTGGCTGTGTAGGTGAAAAACTGGTTTCGGCTTGTAACCGGTCTTGGAGCACCAACTGCGAATGGTGTAAAAATGTGATCACGCCAAGAATGGCAATATACACAGGATCATCTTCGAGTGTGGCTAGAATTAATGAAACTATACGCCTAGTACATATAAACCTATATCGGGCTTGGATATAATATAAATAATTATAATTTTATTATTTCCACTTGCTTGCATACTATTGTTCTAAAATTAGTATAGTTAGTATGATACCATATTTTATATTAAAATATTATTCGTAATTACCCATACATACAATAGTCGACGAGATCAGATGATCGGCAATAATGACCAATGCTGCGTAACATAAGGATTGACAAACGAATCAGAATCATCCTTCTTAATTTTTATTTTATTTTATTTTATTTCTTTTTTTTTTTTTTGTTTATTTTTCATTACTGCATATTTGTTTGAATTAAATTAACTTGTCAGATTGTCATATGAGTGAAAATTTCAAAATACGGAATTTAAAATTTTCTATCTAAAAAATCAATTGAATATTACGTCTGTAGAATTGTAATTTATTTTCTGTTTTTGCAAATTACTATTACTATTACTATCGTTATAATCATTTTTTTTAAAAAAAAAATTTCGTTAATATAAGAAAACAAAACATTGGCTCGAATGAAAATAACTATATTAACATTTTGCGTGCCTCAAGTGATCTCTGAATTCTTTTTTTTTTTTTTTGTCGTATTTACTATAAAACCATATTTATACACTATATTAAACTACTACTTTTGGGCAACTGGAGAGTAAACAAATGTTAAAGAAGTGGATATAATATTTTGCCCTGTGGCTATATTATTGGTTAATTTATACAATTTGATAATCAATACGTAAGTCGATATGCAGTCATTTAATAATTATAATTTTTGATTTACATTTTGCTTATCGGAAAGATTAGAAAGTTGCGATCGGCATTATATTTGTAATCTGACTTTTGCATAAAAAAAGGTTTTTTTTCGTCATAATATAATTTTTTTTTGAAAAAACAAAAAAAATAATATGGATAGCGATTTAGAAAGTGGGAATCGGGCATATGGAGAAATAATTACTTATGTGGCCATTAGTCCAGATGGTTCATTAGTAGCAACGTTTAATCCATGTAAGTTATAACACCAACACTGTACGACTATACGTTCATATTTTCAATAAAAAAAAAAAAAACTAAATTCTTATAACTTATTAATTTTCAGATGGCTCTTCTATATCAATTACAAAATTGAAAACTAATGAAAAATCAGAAATACGCTTTGATAGGAAAAAATTCCTTAAAAAGAAACCACGTAATATTCTTGGATGGTCTTTAGCAGTTTCGAATATTATTGAAAATGATATTGGCTTGATTGCAATTTCTTGTATAACTGAAAAAGATATGAACACAAAAAAAATTGAGAAAATTAGTTATTTTTCCCTTATTAAACAAATTTATACAATTTATAGGAAATCATCATCTTCTTCAACTTATACTATGCTCAATTATCTCATATATAGTAATATCATCATCATTTTGATTAAGTCCCCCCTTTTATCTCTTTTATGGTTTATTTTCGTCCCCTTTTACATTTTTTATTTGACTGAATTATTACACCCTTATAAGATTTCGAAAAGGGATAAACAATTTCAATTATCTTCTTCTCCTAGCGAAGGGATGATAAAGCTCTTTAAATTTTCATTTAATAATGATAGTGATGATAATTATAATAACGATATTTCTCTATACAAGTGTCGTCTCGGTGGAATTGTTAAATTTTTAAACAATTCTAAAAACTCATTAGATGATAGTATAATATTGGTTTGCATGAATTGCATAAAAATACATAAGTTTAATATTAAATTGAACAAAAAAGTTTCCATATTAAAAGAATGTACTTATTTATTACCTGAAAATTTATTTAAAAAATTAGAAAGTTTTGATGATTCAAGACGCAATTGGGAATATCTTTTAAGATCTGGATATCAAGAATTTTTAATGGTTGACACGAGCAATAACCAACAAACACAAAGTATTGAAATGTACGATATTAATACTTCACAATTAGTGAATGTTTTTTACAGAAGTCGAGGAGAAAAAGATTATATAATTTCAAGAAACAATGAACCCGGAATTTTTGCAATATCAACTGATTCAAAATTATTTGCTTATTCTTATGGAGATAATATCATTACAATTTATTTAATGGAAAGTGGACTTGAAATTATTTCGAAAAAATTTGATAATATTTATAAAATTAAATTTTTAGAATTTATTGAAAAAGATAAAAAATTGCTCATTATTGATGAAGATGAAGAATATGATATGAAATTTCATCTTTGGATTATATCAGGACGTTTAAATAATTATTTTTCTATTGCTAGAGATGATCTCCCTATTTCTTCAAAATATGATGATTATGAATATTATAATACTTTAACTAAAGTAAATGGAAAAGTGGTTTTTTATAATAGAGATTATAAGGATCAGTTTAGAGTTTTACAAGAAATAACTATAAAAAAGATAATCTTTGGAGAAAATTATGTCTTAAAAGATGAAACAAACGAGCATAAATATAATTCATATGATTTAGAACCATGGAATGATAACGTAAAACCTATTAGTGGTAAATTTCTTAATAATGATAAGAGCACTATTCTTATTATTGGTCAAAATAGTATTCAAGTCTGGAAATCTAAATTCACAAATTTTGAAGATTTTGAAGATTTTAAAAATTTTAAAAATTCGTATCTTGTATATATTTTAATATATGAAGATATCGAACCTGTGACAACGTCTGAATTTCAAATTGAAGATAACATGATTACTATTATAACTCACGCATGTAAATCACTTGCCTACCTATATAAACACACTGATAGTATTTATTCTAAAGAAAAAAATCAAAAGTTTGTTAGTGCAATCACAAATATTATTAAAGACTTTATTAAAAATTATCCTGATAATTGGAAACTTATGGAGATTCAATATCCTTTAATGGCATATCTAATTTATTCGCGTTCATTTTCTTTAATAAAATACATTTTGTTTGGAGACAATAATCGAGTTGAGTCTAAAAATACTGGTTTGTTACACAGACCACAAAAGAAATACGGTTCTTATCCATGTTATGATGATTTGAAATTATATGACGATTTAGGATTTGAAGACAATGACTTAAGATCAACTAATGATTTGGAATTAGCTTTAAAATTCTGTCAAAGTAAGCGATTTTCTTATTTTATTGTTATCATTTAACGTATTTTGATCCTAATATTTATTATTTATAGATGAAGATGCTGTTATGTTGGCATATCTATTAGAATATTATTCTGAAAATTCCATGAATCATATTGGTTGGATGATTAATGTTACAAAAATTCTTCCAGAATTATCTAAACATAATCATGGTATATTTATTATATTATATTATATCGTTATTTTAATTTATCGCAACGTTTTTATTAACGAATATAATCATTATTTAATAGCTGCTAATTATGCGAAATTATTATATTATAAACCTTGTTTTGGAGAAATGAAATATAATTTTCCAAATAAATGGTTTCAAGTAGCATCATATAGTCAAGATACATTAAAAGTATACGTGCCACTTACTAACCTTATACCAACAAATTCTTTTGACATCTTTTTATATAAAAAAGTGAGGTATATTATATATTCATTTAGACTAATTCATTGTTTTAAATACTATATCTTGTTAATATTTTTTCTTTATCATAGAAATGATGATATTTGTATGGTTCCACTTGCAAATTTTACAACATATAATTCAACAATTAAAGAGAAGATTGAAGGTGAAGCAGATAAAGGAAGGATTGAAAGATTCATACATTTTTTGAGGGTTCTAATATTGCCACCCGGTTATAAGAATTTAGATGATAAAGATTTTAGACCATTTCTTCAGATTAAAAAAAGTGAAATTTCATTTTATGAAATTCCGGCTATGGAAGCAACTATAAATGCAAGATGGTTACAAGCAATGGTACATCAGTTTACACCATTTATAATTTATTCTGTATTTTTAATTATATTCTCCTCATGTTCTCAATATTATTCAAGTTTTAATCATATGAGCGAGAATATAATTAGAATTGCAGTATTTTATTACACTGGAATATATTTATTAATGATTGAATTCTTACAAATGAAGAAGTATAAATCCAGTTACTTTACGATATTTAAAATATTTGATTTATTAAGTATCATTTTAGGTATAATTGTTATTACAATAATATTTGAAAAGGAATATTTTGGTATCAATAGAGTCAGCAATGAAGATATTATTGTTTTTATATCATCAGCTACTTTGGTACTTTGGATCGAAATGGTATTTTTTAATAATTATGATCTTTTTTAAATTTTAAATAATTTTCTATATTAACTTTTATATTTTATTCATTTATTTATTTCAAGCTCTTACAGTTTCGATTATTTTCAGTAGTAGCAACAAATATATTTATTTTTGGAAACATTTTAAGAAAGATCATACCATTTTTTGCATTTATGTTCATTTTAATGGTCGGATTTGGACAGGCAATGTAATTTTTCTTTTTTACTTACAAAATCTTACAAAATATTTTATTATTAAATCAATTAAATGAATATTAATTAATTTTTTTTTATTTATAATGAATAGGTTTGTTCTTTTTAATCATCGATCACTCTTTAATTTATATCCGTCAGCCTCAAATTTCATGTTTACTAATGGAACTGCAAATATAACTTTAGTAATGACAAGTCAAGATAATCCTTTTAGCACAGTATGGGATTCTATACTTTCCACATATTATTGGAATACAATTGATTTGAATACTTATGATAGTTGGCCATTAAAATTATTTGCTTTCATTACAAATATTATTTTGGTTCTTGTTTTATTTAACATGATTATTGCATTAATGAAGTAAGTTAAGATAATTATTATATTTTTGAATACATATTTATATCTATTTAATAATTCTTTTATTAATTATTATAAAATTATTTAGTGATACATTTAATAAAGCCAAAGAAGATGCTAGAATTGGACTGTTAATGCATAGAGTAAAACTTATTAATGATTTTGAAAGGCTTGATATTTCCCCATTATATAAAAATGATTTCCCATATATTTGTTTTCATAAAGATACTAGCTTAATGAAAAATTGGTTAAAAAAATCTCAAAAATTTAGAGAAGAAAAATTATATTCATGGTTTAATGAAAATGTTGATGAAGAAAAGATAACTTTTGATAATGGAATTGATATTAAATCTTGGTATGAAACGCTCATATCAGGTAATGAAAATTAAGATGATTCTTTATTGATTGGGTTTCTGTAGCTTCTATTTCTTTAATACATCCACCTAGTCCTTTTGTTTTTTATTTATTTATTTAATTATTCCATTTTTTTTTGTTAACGTTATTCGATTACATACATTTGGACTGTATCATTATTATTAAGTATTTTATTATAAGAAACATAAGAAACAATAATTTAATTTAATAAAACTATTCGAAAAGTGTAAAACTATTCAAAAAATGATTTGGTTAACTAAAATTTAATAAACCTAATAAGTCTTCTATGTTTTACTAATATTGTTATTGTTGAGGAATTAATTTTAATAGCCGGAGCAGTATTCAGTTTGAATGAGTTTCGATGCGGAACGCTAAACGGCTAACGGAGGTGGCGGAAAACCACCCTAGCGTCGCCTCCAAAAAATAGTAGCCGGATCTAATTTCCCTGGGTGCACGTGATTTCGGTTCATAAGTATTTCGACCATTGTAACAATTTTCAAACAAACTCATAGAGTGGTACCGCCAATGGTTCTCTTTGTTCGATCAGCCAAGGTGACATCGTCGTAGTGACGGCGGTTTGGCTCATGGTTTCAGGGAATTGCTTTCGGCTCTAGTATATAGTGTCCATGAGATTTGTAGCATCACTAAATTATCAGGAAGTCCAGTGACTATCCCTGATCAAAATCGTAAATTTTACGTTAAGATTTTTACGTAAAATTAACGAAAAATGTGTCCAATAACTGTTAATGGACAATTAACTCATTAATCGGTATAATCATCATATTTACGGACAGTAATCAGACAATACTGTCTTATAACCGAAATTTAAAGATCGTCCAAACTGGCCACTAGTAATAAACTACATTTTATTAGTATTAACTTAATGATTTCAACTTAAATAAATTAAAAATGTATATATTATATATTAAAAGTTTAAATAGTCTAGTGGTTAGGCACGAAAAATATGTACTTAAGGTCTTAGGTTCGATTCTTAAGGTAGGTAAAGTTTAATTTAATAATTATATACAATAATATTGTAATATAAATATTAAATATAATTTTAATTAGTAATTTTCACTAAACACCCATATACCTAAAATTTACGGTTTATGGACGTACATAATTAACTTCCAACCTGCGGAGGGTCTGTCAATAGACAGTTAGTGGGCATATGTCCAATAACAGTTGCTGGTCAGCCTGAAAATTTAGTGATGTACCATGGCTTAATTCACGTTGAATATAAAAATAAAAATAAAAATAAAACAAATAAACTTGTATTATACATATCTCAATTGTCAGTATTTTATTAAAGCACAATATACATATTTTATTCATATTTAAACATGTTTCTGAAAATTTAATACTATTATTTTTTAAAAAAAAAGTGAAACAAATTGTTACTATTTGTTGCTGACTTAGCATCTTTAAATTATTTAAATATTTATAAAAAAACAGAAATATTTTGTAATATATACAAAATTAGATTGAAAGGAAACAATAAAAAATCAAACAAATACCAATGAACAAAAAATTAAACTAACAACCCTCACCATCACTCTCAGAGCAGCAAATAGAATTGAAAGATTATTAAATCTTTCCAATAAAAATTTTCTCATTGTCGACATATTTCCTAATTTAGATGTAGCTTTTTTAAAATTGTTGTTAATTAATGTCACTGCATTATGAAAGTTGGCTGAAGATTATAGAAATGGGGGAAATAATTTCAGAAGAGCAAGGATACAAAATCTATCAGGAAAAAAAGAAGGAGGAAAATTCATTAAAAAAAATATTCTTAATTAAGTGTATGAATCAGTGGGATGTTACTTCCCAGGTGATTCTCCAAAATATTATTACAATGATGAAGAATCACCAAGATACTATCCTGATAATGAAGAATCACCAAGATATTATCCCGATAACAAAGAATCTATTCTTCTTATGGATGAATCCTAACTCTTCCCTCTGTTTGCTTTCTCTCTTCTTTTCTCCCTTCTTCATTCTTTTCCTTCTTTCCTCTCTTTCTTCTCTCTTTCTTCGCTCATTTTCTCCCTCCCTTCCTTCTCTCCTTCTTCGCTCTTTTCCTCCCTTCCTTCCTTCTTCTTCACTCTTTTTCTCCATTCCCTTTCCTTCCTCCTTCCTTTCCTCCTTCACCAGTGGATTCCATTATTTTTTTGATTTTTTGTTCCTCAGCACTTGATACTGACTTCATCTGTTTCTTTAGCTCTCTTTTGGCACTTTCTTTTACATTTACATTTAAGTCATTGTTTGGGTGTTTTCCTCCTTTTGCTATTTCACTTTCTGAGCATCTCAAGTTAGTACTTTGATATCCATTTTATTATAATTTTCAAATGTAAAAGTTTATGCAAAGTGCATGAGAATCATTTAATTACACTGGATATAACAAAATGATATAGCATCCAAAACTTGTGTTTGTTTGACTAAATATATTATATACTGAATGATTACGTGAGTTAAAAATTGGTATATTATAGTCACAGATAATCATTTATATGGATAATATTTTTCTTCATCAGAATATGAAAAAAATTAAAAAACCCTGATATTAACATTCCCATTTATTTATTTTAAAAATTTTTCAAAAATGAGGGGTAGAGGACATCAAACAAACAATTAATTTGGAACATCCTAAATTTTATATGATTATTTTTTTAATTTATACTAATAATACATAAACTTAATAATTATACAATAATATGAAACTAAATTTTTTGATGCATACAATTCTATTCTATTTTAATTAAATATATTATTAGTTTTTATCCTCTAATTCATCTAGTTTTTGGGCCTCCTCTAACAACCATACAATATGACCAAGAACTTTTTTTACCCGATCTTCCATATCTTCATCTCCATATATAATAACCATTGGTTTTGATAATTTAAAATAAGGTTTTCTTTCATTATCTAATGAACACTCCAAAAAAAACCATTTTTCAGAATCAGTTATAATACCAAAAACATTTTTCTTCTTATTTGATAAAGCTGATTCACATTGAACTGCATTCTGAGCAACACCTTGTTGAAAATCTTTATCTTTAACTTCAGTAATACCAATTATTCTAGAATTTTGAATTTGAATTAAAGCAAAATCTACAGGTCCATGACCATTCATACCTGAAACATTTTTTTCTGGATAAACCTTAAATTTATCTTCAAAAAGGTTGGCAATAGCTACAAGGTATGAACAAACATATTGACTTTTTGATGCTTCATTTCCAATAGGAATAGCTTTGAAGCGGAAATTCAATTCAGTTATAAGATGCTTGATTATTACTTGTGACTTTTCATCATTTAATTTTACATATCCACAAGTAAAAGGAGGAAATACAGATAATGTTGGATCACTATCTTCACTAAGTTTATAGAGTTTACATACTTTTGGAAAAGTCCAAGAGGAAAAGGATAATGATGTCTCTATAGATATAGTGAATTTGAGGCTATTTCTTGATACAAATAATTGAAGCATATTTTGAAACTCTAGGTCACTTTTAGGAGAATATTTTTCATCATTGCATGAAAAGGCAAGTGTTGCAATATCTTTCTGAAGTTCTGGAAATTGATATAAAGCAAATATAAATTCTTTAAGGTCTTTAAGAGTCACTTGTTCTATATTTACAATCCACTTGGATGTCTTTGTACGTTTTGGATTAACTATAATATCAAATTCTATAATTATAAAATATAAATCAGTTGTTGTTTGATTACAAACTTTCTTTAATATAATCAACATACCATATATAGACTTCTTAAGTAATTTCTGCAATTCTGCTACTTTATTTATCAATTCCAACTCTTTTCTAGTTTTAGTAGTTTCTGGTAAAGTTACAATAATATGAACATGTTCATTAGCAGGAGTTTTAGTAAAATATTTGCTTATTTTCTTTGTTGCAAGAAGCTCATTGTTTCCAAGAAGTTGAAGGTTAGTTAGCTCATCAAAACAATCATCGGGAATTTCAACCTGCCAGAGTTTCAGTTGATCAGGATCAATTCCAGCAAAATCATTATGTTTTTCTTTTTGGATTAAACTCTTAAGCTCACTAATGGTTTTGTTTTTGTTAATATTAATAGCAAAGGCATTGTGTGCATTTCCTTGAACTATACAAAAAAGAGTAATAGTAGTTCGGCACTTTTTTGATTGTGAATTGAAATTTTCCTTTTCTTCAAGTTTTCGCTTTAAAGAATCCTTAATAAAATTTATTTATTAGCAAATTATATAATCAATAAACAAGGTTATAATTTATTATATTATACTGACTAACCTTATTTAATTCTGTAATCACCTCCTTCCAGTAAATTTCTAAATTTTTTGCACGACATATTTGTTCTTTATTTACCTGTTATAAGAAAGATTATTAGCTGTGTGTATTAACATTTTATTTATGATAAAAGAAGGTACATAGCCAGTTCCTCCTCCAGAACAAGCAGACTTTTACCAATACAAATTTCAGACACCTGAATTAAAGACTTGGATTGGTTACCAAGTGGTTTAATCCAGTAATTCTCCTATCTCGAAGCATCAATTTAGGAGTTGCCCTCACTTTGCTAAATAAAAAACACACCTTTTCCTTTATAGAAATTAAAGATTCTTCATTAATTATTTGATATTTTGCTTCCATTAGAAAGTGATTGACCCAATGATTATTAAGTTCCTTCCAATTATTAATTGGTAATGATGAAGCAACAATAGTGTTGTGGTGAAGGAGTAAGAAACCATAATATGATGCTAAATTTCCTTTCTCTTTAAAATAAGATTCTAGGGCTAAAAGTCAAAGAAGAATAGTTAGAAAAATTGAATTTATTTTTATGCTAAAGTACTTAAGATTTATTTACCCTTATGTCCAGAATATAGTTCACTCATAATTATTTTATTAAACAAGAAAATTAAAAAAAAGTAAGGTTTTGTTAAAGTAAGATTAAAGATTGTAAAGTAATCATAAAGTAAGAAAAAAAAAATTATAAAATAATTTAGAATAGAGATAACCAAAATGCATAAGGATCTTAAATACAAAAAAAAATAACTTATATGTGGTATGACTTGGACTGACACATTAACATGAAAAAATAATAATTATAGTAAATGACCTGGCTTTTGTCAGTCTAGCTCATTATTGCAAGTAAGATGATATGGAATGATATGATTTTACTCATGATAATTATTATCTTGATTTTGCTAATAATGACAAATTATGATTTTTAATTCATATAATGTCATTTTTTTTACCAAAAAAGGAAAAAGATCTTATAAAAAATTAATAATTATGACACATATTGATATTATAACAGATACATTGTTCATAGTAATTAGTAAGAAAGCATTGGCTACTTCTCTTAATGAATATAAAACCATTATTTGTAATCTAATTTATTTTTTAGAAACCTGATAATGATACTATCTAATTTTGAATTGTTCATATTAAGTTAGCATTAGAAATCAAATACTTCTCTTTATGAATATAAAGTCATTAATTTATTTTTTACTTTTTTAGGACTTATATGATTTTACTATTTTAGGAAATTAAAAAATTCAAGTAGTATTATTGTTAGTGACTACTAGTGAGTCATTATTTGTAATTTTATTTAGATTTATAGAATAGATAAAATTAATACATGCCACCGCATTATACTGCATTTTATTAGTAAAATCCGGTGTAACAATATTTTTTACATATGATTAAATATGTACCACACTAAAGATTCGTTATATCGTTAAATTCGTTATACCAAATTCACCTGACTGTATTGAGTATTGATAAGATAATTTTGAGCATAATTATATAATTCTTTTAAGAGATTGAATCTTAATGCCTGAAGTCTCCTCGTGATCAAAGTAACTAATTCAGGAAGAAATATAAAATGTTATTTTTAAATTATTTTGTGTCACTGTGTGAAAGATAAAATATATTATACCATTCTAACCAAATCATATTCTGTTGCTCAAAGGAAATTATTTTTCGTCATATCTTAAAGAGTCGTCATCATACATGATCACGATCCATGAATTTTTTTTTTTTATTAAGGAGCGAAGAAATTAATTTAAACACGCTGAAATAAAAAAATAATTGAAGATAGAGGAATTTGCTTTTTTATTGAAGCATGGACAAATAATATTACGTAGCCATTGTTTACTTCAGATGTCAAGTGATATACAGTATTATCAGGAGCCTTTCAAAGATCTGATGACAAGAATCCATTATAACACAAAACCTGACTATATTTAAATTACTTTTTATGTAGAAGATATTATTGTAACACTTGGTAATAATTAATCTTTTTATTAATATGTAATAATTTTAAAATATATTACAAATAAAAAAATTAATATTTTATATTTTTTAATATTTAATAATTTCTCAAAAATCGTAAAAATGAATGTTTTATTTAATATTTGATAACATTGCAAAAATCAAATTAATATTTTTTTTTTTTTTTTTTTTTTTTTTGATATGTAATGATTTTTAAGAAAACTTCGCAAACATTAATGTTTATTATAAAAATTAATACTTCTTATTAATGTTTAATAATGTTACTTTTAAAATATTAAAATTATTATGTCATTATAATATAATTGTCAGGATGATAAATGTTGTGATAATGAGTGTTGTGATAATGAATGTCAAATAAATGGAGGGAATAATGTGGTTTCAAGATTTTGAATTTCGGAATTATGATTTATCAGGATTGTGAGCATCGGGTTTGTATATATAAAGTTTATATTTTTACATAATTGTGAAAAAAACTTTTTTTAATAAAAAATTAAAAGCTCAAAATATTTATATAAATAATTATATGGAATCCACTTATATCATGTAATTTTTTTTGCCGTAAAAACACCCTAAAAATGGTAGCCGGATCAAATTTGCCGGTTACACGTGATTTCGGATAATGATTTTTGGTAATCTCATGTCGATCTTTTTAACACGTGCATAATTTTTTCGTTTGATCAATTTTAAATCAGTTTTTTTCTCTTCATTTTAATGATTTGATTATGTCAAGCTAACAAAATAAAAGTCTGTAAAGGGTTTCATGTTTGAAGAGTTTCTGAATATAAAAGGTGTTGCTTTAAAAAAGTGTTTACGTTGCCGAAATAATATAAAGACTATTTGCAGAAAATATTAAATAAGATATACATGAATATTATGATATAAAAAAACTGTAATTTTTAATTTTTTTTATTAATGTAAATATTAATAATTAAGAGTTATTAGAAGAATCACGTAACAAGCCAAAAAACGGTATTTATGGTTAAAAAATGTTCGTTCTAATTTTAACTCATTTGAAAAAAATGAATAATGATATTATAGCACTGGAAAATCGTAGAACTATACCGAGAACTTGGATAAGAATACAAGGTATTAGGATATTAAAATAATTTTTTTTTAATTTCTCATCTACATATATGATTATTCAATTTTTAATTTACACAAATGTATTAATAACAATTATTAATTAGTGGATCTAAGATGTTCTTTGATTAAATTTGAAAAAACATATTGTACATAAAAGTTAATTTTAACTTTAATTAAATGCAGGTTATTTAAACATGGCTTTTAACGATTGTAACAACTAAAATAATAAATATTAATATTTGGTTTTGGTTAAGAAGGCATCACTATTTATCAAGCAACATCAAGCAAAATATTTTAATTTAATTAAAAATGATTGTTTGTAAACAACTTGAAATTTTTTTAAATACTAAAGATTTACATGGAGCGATTTATTAAAGTAAAGTTTAACTAATAATCCGTGTACGAAAGAAAACTTTACTTTTTATATATTCAGAATGTATAATTTAAGAGTGACGCAGTATTTTTAAAAAGGTTCAAATTTGATTTTTTGTGAATTTATTAAAAAAATGGAAAATTTGCATAGTTTTTGGCTGTTTTTAACGTTATTAAAACAAATAAAAATTTTTTACTTTTTTTTTTTGAAAAAATATTTTACATTTCTTAAGTGGATTTGTGAGATTTTGAATTTATAAAAGATGTTATAAATAGTCATTTTTAATTCTGGTCAGAATATTTATTTCAGCCAGAATTAGACGTTTAAAGAATTTTGCTAAAAAAGTTGAATGATCCGCTAAATATTCAATGTTAGCCCGAATTATGTTTACCCGTTTAATTTTAATCTAACTGATGTAACATCTAAGCCCGTGATAAGTCACGTTGCCACCTTAGATATTAACAAAATAACTCTTTATTAATAATATAAATAAATACAATAATATGCTAATGTTAAATAATAAATAAATAAATTATATAATGATTCCATTTTCTTAAATTCGTAACTCTAAAATTGTAACTTGTTTTTGGGGAGGTCACACTATCTTCCCTTTTTATATTTGTTTATGTTTCACCAAATTCATAACTTGATTTCATGGATTTTAACTTCAAAATTTCATTGAGATTATCTTTATAAAATCTAACCTATCCATAAGATATAATTCACTTTGATCCATAATGATCGTCATTGCCTCCTTAATTATAATTTATAATAATTCTAGCATTAACGTAATAATCTACAAATTAATCACCTGATATTTCAAATCATTTGACCTTAATGATCTAACGTCATTTACGGATATTAATTATCCTTAAATCACATGATTTATAGTTTAACGTCATTTCGGACCAATAATTATCCCTGACTCACATGATATTAGTTTAAGGTCATTCCGGACCAATAATTAACAATACAATTTTAAACTAAAAATTTATACACTAAGATTAAATATAATACTGCGCCCTCCAATTAATAAATTTACTATGTACACTCCCCGGTAAAAAGTATCCAACCACCCTAAAAATTAAAAAATCTTAAAAAATTCAGTTGGCCCAACAATAAATTTATATTTATTTTAAAAGTTTGAGACATGAGACACTTTTTTAAAAGTGTTTTTTTAGCTTAATTATTAGTAAAAATTGGCGGACATTTTTAATTCTAAAAATGGCAAAATTCTTAACTTTTTAACTAGAGCAGTTACGGCCAAATGAATTCCAGAAATCAATTCTTTGACTAAAAAATAGCTTATGTTTAAAAAATCAGAAAGATTGGACTGGTAGTTGCCGAAAAATCCACCACTGAAGATCATAATTTTTATACTAAAATTTGGCAAAAATGGTAATTTTACCGTTTTTACATATAAAAATTATGATCTTCAGTGGTGGATTTTTCGGCAACTACTAGTCCAATCTTTCTGATTTTTTAAACATAAGCTATTTTTTAGTCAAAGAATTGATTTCTGGAATTCATTTGGCCATAACTGCTCTAGTTAAAAAGTTAAGAATTTTGCCATTTTTAGAATTAAAAATGTCCGCCAATTTTTACTAATAATTAAGCTAAAAAAACACTTTTAAAAAGTGTCTCATGTCTCAAACTTTTAAAATAAATATAAATTTATTGTTGGGCCCACTGAATTTTTTAAGATTTTTTAATTTTTAGGGTGGTCGGATACTTTTTATCGGGGAGTGTATATTACGGCATTACACTTAGTGCTTCGACCCGGATGAAAACCGTCATCCGGATTACACAAAAAAAAAATCCGGATTATATCCGGATTGACCCGGATTTTGAATCTGGATCAGATAATCCGGATAGAAACCGGAAACCGGATTGGATTTACAAATGATCGGCAATAATTCTGGCCAGAATTCATAACGCC